AACCATGCTGCATAACCAATGTCTTAGAACAATTAATATTTTGATTCATGTAGGTAAGAAGGAGCCGGTTACGATAACTGCCAAAGTGGGAACCTTCAAAAGAAAGCAGCAGATGAGAGATTTCCTGGACCATTTGCCAAAGGACAACCACGACGATATTTTCACTGCGACGCCCTTTCAGAACAGAAGAGTAAAGGTAAATCTGGGGAAATAGTGTATGTATGCGTATGCTTTTCTGGTTGGCGTTTCAAGGGTGTGCTGCAAGTCTGCTGGTTCGGTTCCATCAATAAAACCTCGTGGATTCGGGGGAAGAGGCTTATTTCCCGGGTTTGTTATTGCAATACTTCGATTGCCGGCAGTGACGGCGTGTGGAGCGTGGCCCCTGCCGACGAGGGTTACCGCTGAACGGGTGCGTAAAACCGGTCTGTAGTAGGGGCGTCCTTTCTGCCTGTGCGGGAGGAACTTCTGACGCTGTGAACCGCTGGTCGTGCAATTTATTTTTTTTTCCCCTGTAGAGAATTTTTGCAGTACATTTCATGATGCATCTTTGGTTTTGCCGTTACCTGACCAGACTAGCTCTGCCAGTTAAAACCAGCGCCTCAGTTCCAGCAGGGACTCCAAACCCCACCTGCAGGTCTCTTGATTTGTCCTTTTGTGGGTTTTCTTTGTAGCAACAGTGCCCTTCTTGCTCTGCCAGGAGTGGAGTAACGCTGCGGCTCGTTGGAAAGCCAAAATTTAAGCAGTGGTAACTTCATTGCTTTCTATGAACCGCAGCGTGCTATGGAGAAATCCCCGTGACCGGTGTGAGCGAGCTGGCTGTGAAGGAAGCGATGGCTCCATGCCCAAGACACCCTGTTTCTGCAGAGGGGTTCTCCAGGAGCCGCCTCTTGCGGTAGGACACAGTTTCAGCCAGTGATTCAAAAGGGTGCCCCTTCTTCTTTTTTTTGTCTTCTTTTTTTCCCAAATTCATTTTGCCTGGCTTGTGCTGTGCAAAAGAAGCCAGCCCCCCTCGGCTGTGTCTGACGAGAGGTACACCTCCGGAGAGAGCTGCTGAGTATTTAGGAATCACGAGTGGGCTCCCCTTCCATGAACCAGACTCCTCACAGCTGCAACTTCTTGTGCCAAGTTCCAGAGCTGAATTATTTGCTGCGTGAAGAAGCACGATCTTTTACTTGTTCTGAACTTGCATCTGCTGACTTTCTCTTCCTCTTCTCACGGGGAAGAAACAGCGAACGCCTGTCCTGGCCCCTGTTCCCCTGATGCGTTATAGCTCTCCCCCACCCAGGACCTGCTGTGCTGTGGCCCCTCTCTGAGCCTTTCCAGTTCTCCTCTCTCTTCAAAATGGAAGGAGCAGAAGTTCACTGAGTAATCCTGAAATCCTCCTCCTGAGTACTAATGGTCAGCTTTGAGCTTGTAATTTTAATCAGAAATTATTGTTTGAATGTGTAGCAGCAGCCAAAAAAGGCCAGCAAAATGCTGGGCATCAACAGGAGTATTAAGAGCAAGACCGAGGCATCCTTTGGCTGCTGTGTCGCGTCCTTGCCTACCTGCGCTCTGCGTGCGGCGCGCGTTGCTGGTGCCTGCCTCTCGAGGGACACAGCGGAGTCAAAAACGCAAGGGGAGCGAGCGAGGGAATGGCGCGGCTGCCTGCTGGAGAGAAGAGAGAGTCGGGGCCTCCTCCCTTTGGGGAAGGGGGAGACAGCCGAGGCTCACAGGGTGGTGAAGAGGCCGTGTCCTGTCGCTGCTCTGACGGACCCGCGAGAAGCCTTTTCAGCAGACTCTTGTTCAAAGGGCAGGTCGCTGATTGCTCTGATGTGGCTTTGCAGTTGCCAACGTTCCGGCGAAGCCACGATGACGATGATGACGACTTTGCACTTACGGACAACCCGATCACACCTTCCTCAGCTGTCTTCCCTATGGTGAAAACCCCTCAGTGCGACCACATCAGCCCTGGTATGCTGGTACCCATCAACAGGTAGGAACTGGTACCACCGTCCCTCTGCTAACCTCCTCCTTTCTCATTTTCCCCAAGGTTGTTTTTTGTCCTCTGAGAAAGATCGCTCTTGGAACCGGGGCAGCAGTTCCCGTCCAGGCTTAGAGCACGCGTAGCAAATGCTGCAGTCCTTGGGGGACTTGTTTAGAGAAAGCTCTCTCCTTTGGCAGCGCGTGCGGTTTGAGCTCTCAGCTAAGTCTGGGCAACGGAACGACGCCCATCGCGTGTCCTTTTAATCTGGGAGAAGGTGGCGATTTGGGCTTCGGCCTCAGCAGAGGTTCCTCTGCTCATTTTGAGCCTTAAACCTGTTAACCCAACGGCTTCAGGCTTTACTGAAACCATCCTGAAACTTGTGGAGTAACTGGCGTTTTATCTAACGGATGAGAAATGAACATCATCTGGGAAGATGATGAAGCTTTGGTACTTGCCCTACGAGTTCTAGCACGTGATCTAATTAATTAAACACTTCTGTGGTGTCACGCTCCCAGCGCTGCTGTTATATTTAATTGACCAACCACTGTTTTTAACGGCCATGCCAATTTTCATTCTGAATTAGAGCCGTATGGACGCTGCCCGTAACGGCATCCCGCGGAGCCCAGGGCGGCGCACCAGGGACGCTAACGTGCTTGATTACATCTGCAGGAACGATTACGACAGGCACGTGTTCAGGATGCAGAAGAACACGCAGGGCAGCAGAGGCACCTGGGACAACGTCAAGAAGAAGTCGGTAATGCTGGTTTCCTTGAATGTTGCCCCACCTGAATGATGCAAAGCTTGGCTAAAGCAGCAGGCACAAGATTCCCGGGATCACAGACCAGCTGTGTGTGTTCAGGAAGGAAAACAGGAGCCCTCCCCTGCTGCCCCCCCAGGCTTCTGGGTTTTGTATCTACTGCTCTTGGGGAGAAGTTGTTAGAAAAGAGCTCTTGCTTGTCAGGATTAAACACATTGCTTTTTATCAGGGTTTGTAACTGCTTTTGGATTCTGTGATCTCCAGGTACATTAAGTTCCTGTTACATTCTTCTGTACAGTGGGAAAGGAAACAGCAATTCCCACCTTGTATCGGAAACTCCCTGAATTTATGTATTTATTCCTTCGGTGCCCTAGGTTTTGTAGTTCTTCTGGCCTTTCCATGAAAGGCTGAGATCCCAGCAGCAGAAAAACGGTTTGCGCCTCCAGTTTAGTGAAAGCGTTTGTGGTACTTGAACAGCTTAAACGCTTAGGGACAGCGCAGCCCAGCGCCAGGGCAACCTCCTTCCGGTGTAGCACCGAGTCCGTGCCGGTCGTCCCGCCGGCGCTGTGCGGGTGCTGGTGCCGCGGGGCTGAGCGGAGCCTTTTTGTCCTTTGCCAGGCTGGAGGGGTGCTGGGTACGCCAGCGTCGCGCAGAACCGCATTCAGTTTCGAAAAAAGTAAGTACTCGCTGTTTCGCCTTCTTCACTCCAGACTCCTTCCCTTTCCCCCCGCCACCGGCTTGTTGGGTGTCCACAATCTTTGCGTTTAATGATTTCTGTTTCTCGTAAGCACCTCTGGCTTTTGGACGTTCCGTACCTGCTTTTCAAGCTCGGGCGCGCACTGACACTCCCCCCTGTTCTTTTATTGCAGAAGTGAAACAGACCTCTGTTGTAGGGAAGCTCTTCGTGGCTGAGGCAGCAGATTCATCGGATGAAGAACAGGACGATTCCTATTTTTCTGTTTAATGAACTTTGTGGATTTTATTAATTCAACACTTACTTATGCGCCTCTCGCATGAAGCCAAGGGGTTTGGCCGCCCCTCCGAGACGGCAT